GATGGGTTGAATTTGGATGAAGAAGATAAAATGCAAGGAGATTTTTTGATAGAATGCATTAGAAATTTTTATTAGACATCTGCCAAGATTTTTTTTGGGTCTGAGGACCCTTGCAGAGAGTAACTCCTTTATTTTTGAGTTTTTCACATTTTTAAGTGGGTTTGACTTCTTCGTTTTTAAATATTAAGTTTGTCATTCCCTTTATAACAGTCGGTATAAAATTTTACACAAATGTGTGTTTCGCCTGCAGAACTTTTGGTATGGGCTATATCGGTCCACGATTAGGTATATCCCCCATATAACTTTACCTCCCTATATACGTTATTTTGCTGATTTTAGCGACCTCATTCACCAGAATTGTTTTAAATTTCGTATTTGCAGTTCGTAACAGATACTACAGCCTGTGACAGAACATTTCCAATGCAGGTACAGGTCTTCGTGTAGTCCACATATAACTTTACCTCCCTAGTTTCGGTATTTTTCTGATTTCAGCGACATAAATCACCGAAATTGTTTCAAATTTCGTATTTGAAGTTCCTATTGGGTACTATATCCTGTGACAGAAAATTGGCTATGCAGGTCGACGCCATCGTGTATACCCCAATATAACGGTAATCATATTCGGTATTTAGATGATTTTTATACCCTACACCACAAGGTGGTCAACGTATTATGTCTTTGTGCATTTGTTTGTAACAGGCAAAAGGAAACGAGATAGACCCATAGTTCCTTTTGATGATCTGCATAGAATCACATTCTGAGTCGATTTATACATGTCCTTTCGTCCGTCTGTCCATGTGTTTTTGTAAGCAAAGTACAGTTCGCATTTATTGCCCTATCCAGATGAAATTTTGCACAAATCATTTGTTTGGCCCAAACACGCACCCTATTGAAATTGCAGATAATCGATCAAAATTTTCATATAGCTCCCATATCTTCGTCCGATTTTCTTTTTATTGTGCACCAAACGTGTAATATCAGCCCGAATAGTATGAAATTTTTCACATACAACCAAATTAGGCCTGAAAATAAGTATGCCAAATTTTATCGAGATCGGTTCAGATTTGGATATAGCTCCCGTATAAAACTTCGACGGATTTACGTTTTATTGTGCACCAAACGTCTAATATTTGTCGAAATGGGATGGAATTTGGCACTTACGACCGAATTGAGCCTAGAAGCTAGTATGTCAAATTGGGTGAAGATCGGTTTAGATATAGCTATAGCTCTCATATATACTGTTCATCCGATTTGTTATATTTGTTACCCACAGCCTTAATATAATATTCAGGGAAATATATCAGAAATATCTTTGCCAAATTTTATCGAGATCGGTGCAGATTTGGATATAGCTCCCATATATATCTTCATCTGATTTCAAATTAATTGTGCACCAAATGGGCAATACAAGTCCGAATTTAAAAAATACAAATGCTTCGGCATATTTAGTCCTTTGAATTTCAAATTATAATTTTAATCATAGGGTGTATGATTGAATTCTCCCATAAAAACTTTTAATTGTTATGTGGAGTTCAACTAAATTAGCAAAGTGGTGTAGGGTATCATAAAATCGGCCCCGCCCGACTTTAGAACTTTCTTTACTGGTTAACAATATTTTTCAACGACCTTCCATAAGGTGGATGGTATTTAAAGTTCCCTTGCAGAGAGTAACTGTAAAGTGGTTTTCTTGTCGGCCGAGGTAATCTCAGCTGTACTCAGGGTCTCCATAAGGACCCACTAAGCCTGTTTTTTTTATTGATTTTTAATACTAAATTACAATCTACTAGTGTTGAAATACGATAAGATGAATATTGAATATATGATGGCGAATGTACTACGGAAGTGTTCGGAAATTCAAAATAGCTGATGATCGGGAATTCGAAGTTTACTCGTCTCGTAGACAAGAAGGTGAACGACTTGTGGACAATCGTGAACGATGACATTGGGTTGTTCACAATGAGTACAAGGGTGGTTGATGTGTAGTGAGATTTGCCGACGATTCGGAGGTGATCGGGTACTCTTGGATGATCGTCGGATGTTGATTGGTGGGGAAGTTCGGGAATTATGATGTTGCGTTCGGGTGACGCAGCTGTCGACAATTCAAAGGTAATCGGGAATCTGCGCTCGTCGGTTGTCGACTGTTGTCAGGAATTACGATATATGTATTCGGCTGATGCGGGGTTGTTTACGATTTGAAGGTAATCAGGAACTTGTGGTCGTCGGTTTGACTGTTATTGGGAATTACGACATTTGTATTCGGGTAATGAGGGGGTGTTGACGATTTGAAGATAATCGGGAACTTGTGGTCGCCGGCTTTCGAGGGGTTGAATATAATCAGGAATTACGATGATTGGGCTCGGTCACATCGGCGTTTGGGAGGTTTTCGATTTAGAATTAATCGGGATCGCCATTGGGTGGACGAGTTGCGAACCATCAGAGTATGCGATGTAAATGTTTGGGATGTTGGTGGGCAGGTCTTCGGAGGTGGATTGGTGGTTTGTAGTTAAACGTTGTGGAGACACTAGGGAGCAGCTGCCCAGGTCTTCGTAGATGAATTGAGATTCGGCTGGGTTTGGCAGCTCATTGAGTAGTTGAGCAGTTGAGTAGGTTCGACAACCGATGGGTAGACCTTTGTAGGTGAATAGAAACTCGTTCGGGTTCAACAGCTCGTTGAGGGTAGGTTCGGCAACTGACGTCTAGGCCTTTGTAGTTGGATCGGAACTTGTTCGGGCTTGGCAGCTCACTGTGGGTATGTTCGGTTTTAGCTATTCAGGTTGTCCATATTGGTTAGGTATCGATTCTAGCAAGCGCTACGGTTTACAACTATCTCCACTCCACTACCAATATTTGACTATGATACAGAGCCGAAGCTCCTGCGGAACAGCAAGTCGAGGTTCCCGCGGAACAGTGAAACTGCTACTCCACTACCAATGTTAAGCAATGATATGAAACAGCGAGCCGAAGCTTCTGCGGAACAGCGAGCTGAGCTCTTGCGGAACATTAACCTAAGCTCCTGCTGAACAGCGGGCTAAACCTCCTGCGGAACACAGAGCCAAAGCTCCTGCGGAACAGTGAGTCTAAGCTCATGTGATACAGCGGACTCCTGAGGAATGGCAAGCCGAAACCCCTGCGGAACAGCGACATGAAGCTCCTGTGGAACAACGAGTCGAAGCCCCTGTATAAATTAATTACCGGCCACTCAACTTAATGAGATAACCCATCTTGAACAAGTTAAAAAGCAGATAAATCGGCCGGACCGGACCGAACTTTTAATACTCTCCACCATTTTAAGGAAATTGAAAGATGTCAACAAATTCCGAAAAAACTCCATTTAAATGAGCCTTATACGGGGGCTATACGAAGACGCGGATCTGCATAAGTAATTATACCTTACACCACATAGTGAAATTGTTTGTAACATGGAGAAGGAAGCGAGATAGACCCATAGTTACTTTTGAGGATCTTCATAGAATTACTTTCTGAGTCGATTTATGCATGCATCAGTCCGTCCGTCCATCTGTCCATGTATTTTTGTGAAGCAAATTCAGGTCGCATTTATTATCCGATTGAGATGAAATTTTTCAAACAATATTTGTTTGGCTCAAGGACAAACCCTATTGGAATTAGTGAGAATCGGTTCAAATATAGTTATAGCTCCCATATATATCTTCAACCGATTTCTGGTTATTTGTGCACTAAATGACCAATATGAGCCCAAATAACCTGAGTTTTGGTATTTCCGACCGAATTCGGTCTAGAAGCAAGTACAGGGTTGCCCATATTCGACGGACCCACCTGGCAACGCCATAACTTTTGACAGAGATGTCACATCGCCTCACATGCGTGATAAGCACTCCACGAGAATAATATTTGATACCAGATATCAGGTACTGCCCAGAAATCTGACTGAATTCATCTTAGAAATAAGTACTTCAAATCTAGTGAAAATCGGTTCAGATATAATTATAGCTCTCATATGCGTTTTATCATCCGATTTTGTGTTTAAGTCCCTCACATGCGTAATATGCACTCCACAACATTGATATTCGATACAGAGCATCAGATATTCCTCGAAAATACCTCTGCCAAATTTTATAGAAATCGGTTCAGATTTTTATGTAGTTTCGATATACAGGGTGAGATGAAAAAACTGCAACCTACTTCAGACTGCTTTCATTTCTAAGCCACTCGTCCGACAGTAGTTGTTCGTGATGGAGTTCAAATGTGATTTCTTTATATTTGGCTGGAAAACCTGAAGTCGTTAGAGCACTCCAGCATTTAAATGTGAATAAATATTTTGTGTCTCGTAACATCGCTCTTTACCGTGATACTGGTGGCGTAGCCCGACGTCATGGAAGTGGACGGAAGAAAACAGCAACATCAGCAGAAATGGTCCGAAAAGTAAAGAAGCGACTTGATCGAAACCCGCGTCGCAGTGGCCGAAAAATAGCTCGTCAGCTGAACATATCGCAATATTCCATTTGGCAAATATTGAAAAATTTCCTCGGGGTAAAGCCATTGAAATTCCAAAAAGTGCCGGAACTTACACCGCAACAGAAAGAAAATAGACTCAAAAGAGCTAAATAGTTGCTTCGCTTGGCCGAAAGTGGTGAACTGCCGAATTTGGTTTTCCCCCATGAGAAAATATTCGTTGTCCAGAAGTTTGTAAATACAACAAAATATTCGTGTTTTCTTGCCAAAGAGGTCAGCTGAAAATGTGTACTTTCGGTTGGCCACCAGAACTCAAGCGCCGGCCATGGTTATGGTGTAGGCCGATGTGGGCCATAACAGCCGATGGTCGCTTTCCGCTCGTATTAATCGACCGTGGCATCAGAATAAATGACGAATATTATGGCGAAAATATTCTGAAGGGTGTTTTGAAGCCTTGTCCGCAGACCTTGGACATTCCAACAGGACTCAACACGCACCACCCAAGAATGGTTTCAAAATGAGGTTCTTCGCTTCATTTTCAGTGAAAAAAGGATCCTTTCTGGGAAAAATCACTTCACTTTCTTAGCAGCTGGCTTCTTTGCTGCTGCGGCCTTTCTGGGCTTCGCAGTTGCAATTTTTGCCTTGGGTGCCAATGGCATAGTGGCAGATGCTTTGGCGGTGGTCTTTGCTGGTTTAGCTTTAACTGTACCGGTTTTTTTCTTGGCAGCATTTGCCTTTGTTTTGTTGGCCTTCTTCTTTTCAGCGGTCTTCTTTGCGGCAGAGAGTTTTTTGGCAGCTGCCTTCTTCTCACCAGCGGCCTTTTTAGGGACGGTAGCCTTCTTCTTTTTGTCACCAGCGGCTGGGGCCTTCTTCTTCTTCTTTTCAGTAGTCTTGAATATGGGTTCCTTGGCCAATCCTTTGGATTATTGGTGTCTGGAGTATTTTGGAAAGCTAGGTTGGCACTTAAAAATACCAAAGTGTCGATCACCTCAATCAAGCGTCGGTAATGAGCTAAAATACCGCAGAGCAACATTCGGGTAGCGTGTGATGGTTTCATTGGCCGTTTGAAGGCCATAATTCGTGCCAGAGGTGACCAATTCGAACAAATCTAAACTTATTCTAAAATTTGATGCTATTACCGACATTGTTTGCATTCATTCAATAAAATTAAAAAAAATGTAAAAATTATGGCGTTTGACTTTGTTGCAGTTTTTTTGTCACACCCAGCTCTCATCTATATTTTTATCTGATTTCAAGTTTTTTGTACATCAAATGGACTGAATTTTGACAATTCCGATAGAATTCAGCCTAAAAGCAGGTGCTTCAAAATTTTGGTGAAAATCGGGTCAGATATAGCTATAGCTCGCATATATATGTTTCATCCCATTTGGTGTTAAAGTCTCTCACATGCGTAATATGTACTTCACGAGAGTGATATTTGGTACCAGATTTTATAAACAGCTCGAAAATACCATTGCCAAATTTTATCGAAACCTGTTCCAGATTATTATGTAGCTTCGATACACATCTTCATCCGATTTACGGATATTGTCCACCATATATGTAATATCAGCCAACAATTGAATAGACTTTTTCCTATTCAACCAAATTTTTCCATTTGGCCAAACTCGGTATGGTATATCTATCGCCCCAAAAAATATTTATACCCTACAACACTATGTGTTGGGGGTGTTATAAGTTTGATTGGGCCAAAAATTATGTAACACCACGAAATATTGGTTTCCCACATATGAAAGTATATATGGATCTTCCTTTCTCGCCGAGCTGAGTCGATCTAGCTATGTATGTCCGTCCGTCCGTCTGTCCATGTTAATTTGTAATCCCTCTTAAGGTCGCAATTATGGCCCGATCCTCACGAAATTGAAAATGGAGGTGGGGTTAAGGTCAGAATAGAACCCTATTTCTTTTGTAGATGATCGCATAATATTTAGTGGTTGAAATGGACCAAAAACTGAAAATTTTCCTGATTTTGCAGTTGCTCTACAGGTCGCAATTATACTCCGATCGAAGCGGAAGTTAGCATGGGGCTAGAGCTTAGAGCTGGGCAGAAGCCTTCCAATTTTAATGGTCATCGGGTAATATTTAGTGGGTGAAATAGACCATAACATTTGTGTTAAATAAAAGTAGAATTTTCCATTAAACCGCGAATATTTTTTCCCGGCGAAATCACGAAGAAGGTCATTTGTGACCATTTCGTACATTCCGATAGTAAATATATCGGATATATGTAGCGAAATATATACAATGTATACATACAAAGTAAGGGGATGTTAGCTAGAATGCTTATATCTCAAGAATGGCTGGTTCGTTTTTGACAAATTTTGTGAATTCAGAATTCTCTCTTGGCGTAAAAGGATAAAATGTAAAAATATCGCATAAAAAGATGCCAATAATGATGTTAATATAGATTTTGTAGAATTATGTGACATTTTTTTATTTTTTCATATTTTTTATCGCATGCGATTTTTTCAATTTGACTTATAACATTCAAGTGTACATTTTGTAATATTTTTTTCAACTTTCAACACAGGTTGGGGTTATTATATACAGATTACAATTATCGTCCGATCCTCACGAAAATTTTCACAAGGGTAGGGTTAGGCTCAGAAGGGCTAGACATATTGTTTTCAAAGATGTCCGCAATAAATTTAGGGGTTGAAATGGACCAACAACTGATTTTGCAGCCCTTATAAAGGTCATAAATAGAAAGCAAAGGACACGAAATCTCGTAGTTAGAGTTTAGGACAGTGGGTAGGATGGACCACTACTTTTGTGTGAAAAATACCAACATTACTTACAGGCGTTATCAAAAATGCACTAAAAGGCGAACTTCTGGCTTTTTATGCTGATATAGCCAAATATCGTAGGGAAGAAGTCTAGCATTTTGGATGACCATTGGATTGTATTTAGCTGTAAAATGGACCACAACTACAAAGAGCACAACGGAGTTCGTAAATATAGGGCAAATGTCACTGGTCAAAATGCTGGGCAGTGCTCCGTGACATAATTTCAAAAGTGAAATCTTCCAAAATGGATTTGGACATAAGAGGGCCTCTAACATGTTGTAGTGTTGTAGAGTATCACATGGTCGGCCCCGCACGACTATAGCCTTTGCTTACTTGTTTTTAATATAACCCTTATCGAAGCCATATCATGCACTATTCAACAAGGTTGTTTGGTTCATAGTTGGTATGATCTATTTCACATAAATTCCCAATATAAATATTTTTTGTTACGGGAGCTCTACTAAATACGCATAGTGGAGTAGGGTGTCAGATGGTCGGCCCCGCCCAACTTTTGACCACTCATTACTGGTTTTTTTTCTAATTGTTGATGTTTTCTTTCAACATAATTGGTATTTATATCGAATGCATTTATTCCTTGTTATATTTCCCCCTTCTGTCCCGATATTGGCTTAACAAATTGAAATGAAATGTTAATAGCTTAAGATGGCCAATTTAATCTTATTAGTTATGTAATACCCATCGTTATCAGTTTAACTGTGATAGTTGCTGTTGTAGTTTTCCACTCTTCTTCACTCACATCCCTTCCCCCAAATCCCAACCATTATGATTGCCTCACACTATTTCATCCCCCGAAAGCAGTTTGCTTTTACTCGCAAATTAAATGAAAACTAACTCAAAAAGGAGAGACAATTGCATGAAATGACAAAATGTGTACAACATTGTGGAAAATGCTTTGGAGGGATATATGTGTCCTTTGAAATGGCATTAGAAGAATTGAAAAGATACCGAACTGAAGCGAGCTATGAAATGAATTGAAATGAAACTAAAATGTCTTAGAAAACGGACAGCGGTGACAAACGCATGCAATATTCGCCCCCATGCAACAGCAACAGCGGAAGAGCGAGAGGAAGGACGAGAGGAGAGCGAAACAAATAAATTTCTATTATCAAAGTGATGTCAAATGCACGTAAAAATGAAAAGCAGTTCACACGGATGCACACACATACACACACACGCAATGACACACACACTCATACTTTGATATGTAGAAATAGATGATTTCACACGTACGCTTACCTAAGCTTAGACACTTTTTACGTGTCCATATGTGCGAGGATAACAAGAAGACATGCCAGCCCGATTACACACACACACGCACATATGCACGCTTGTATTAATGTCAAACAACTAACACAAGCGATATGTTGTCATTTATATATCAGAGAAAAGAAGAAGATACAATGATATCCTTAAGATAAGGGCTTATGCCTCGAATACGTATCACGAATTACACAGAAGAACAATCAAAGAGTGTTGGCACACAATGCGTTTGGGGACAGAAGTAGCAGATGCGGAGATGGGTAAATTAATTTTGGGGAAAAGTTGAAGAAGCAAATAATTAAAACCGATGTACCTAAGAAACTTTACTAACTAGAGTCTTCATTGGAAAACCAAGTTGGGTGGAAGACATACTAGCTTCTAGACTAAATTCGGTCGTAAGTGCCAAATTCCATCCCATTTAGACAAATATAAGAAGTTTGGTACACAAAAAAAAGTAAACCGGACGAAGTAATATATGGGAACTATATCCAAATCTGAACCCATCTGGATAAAATTTATCAAATGTATTTCTGAGCTGTATTTGATATATTTCCCCGAATATTGTTGTAACAGAGTGCATATTACGGCTGCGGAGGACAAAAATAACAAATCGGATGAACAATATACATGGGAGCTATAGCTATATCTGAACCGATTTCGATCAAATTTGGCATACTTATTTTCAGGTCCAATCTGATCGTGCGTGCAAAATTCCATACTATTCGGACTGATATTACACGATTGGTGCACAATAAAAGTCAAATCGGACGAAGATATATATGGGAGCTATATCTAAATTTTGACCGATTATATCCAATTTCAATAGGGTTCGTCTTTGTCAGTTATAATTCAAATCGAATCGAAATGATATGTGGAAGATATGTCCTAAACTCAATCTTCTTTCCACTAAATGACGAAGGCATTTGTACCAAGAACCATTGCTTTTTGACATCTTCAGACAAGATCTTGTGTTAATAGAAATATTGAGATATGCCGAGTATGAAAGTAATCGGATGCTTATTTAGCGTTTTATAAGCTTCATTGTTATTCAAAATTTTGAAATATTGTGGAGGAGGTACTAGATATAGTACTGATAAAAGTATTGGAATTTGGATGCAAAATTTCAATAAAATTGGATGATACTTTCTTGTTCTATACAGTAAATTATTTTCTATGAAAATGTTAGCATTTTGTGGGGAATATACCGGAAAGAGTAGACCAGTATTGCCCATTCCCGAACTATATCTAATTTTGCCAATAATATTACGATGTGCCAAGTTTGAATCAAATTTGATCCTCTCTTTATCGTGCCAGCCAGCCAGCCAGCCATAAAGACAGACACACTGTCGGACGAACACCCTTAGATCGACTCAAATATGGATTTATAGCCATATGGCTAATGGTAAAATAAATATCGGAATATTAGACATAAGCGAATCGTCTTTCACCAAATGGAAAAATTCGTTTGAATGTGCCAAAATCTACTCCATTTGGACTAATATTAATCATTTGGTACACAATAAACATGAAATCGAATAATTGTTGTAGAGCGTATTTTACGAATGTGAGGAAGTTAAACACAAAATCATTTAGTGTGCACTAAAAATTAAATTTGATGAAGATATATAGGGATGCTATATCCTGAACAGAAATCGACAAATTTTAACCAATCTCGACAAAAGTTTCTTAACCAAACTCTAACTGTTTAATACCAAATATCACCAAATGGGATGAAACGGGAGCTATAAATTTATCTGAACCGATTTTCGTCAACTTTGACACACTTGTTTATATCCATTCAACTTGGGTTGAAATTAAAACTTTGGTGTACAATGAACATGAAATCGGATATATATATTTGCACGTACAACCAAATTAGGCCTGAAAGTAAATATGCCAAATTTAATCGAAATCGGTTCAGATATAGCTATAGCTCCCATATATGTTGTTCATCAGATTTGTTATTTTTGTCCACCGCCACCGTAATATGCACTCTGCAACAACAATATTTGGGGAAATATATCAAATACAGCTCAGAAATATCTTTGCCGAATTTTATCGAGATCGGTTCAGATTTAAATATAGCTCCCATATATAATTTCGTACGATTTACCGTTTATTGTGCACCAAACGTCTAATATTTGTCCAAATGGGATGGAATTTGGCACTTACGACCGAATTGAGTCTGGAAGCTAGTATGTCAAATTTGGTGAAGATCGGTACAGATATAGCTATAGCTTCCATATATATTATTCATCCGATTTGTTATATTTGTTACCCACAACCGTAATATGCACTCCGTAACAACGATATTCAGGGAAATATATCAAATACAGCTCAGAAATATCTTTGCCAAATTTTATCTAGATCGGTTCAGATTTGGATATAGCTCCCATATATATCTTTATCCGATTTCAAATTAATTGTGCACCAAATGGACAATACAAGTCCGAATTTAAAAGATACAAATGCTTCGGCATATTTAGTTCTTTGAACTTTAAATTAAAATTATAATCATAGCGTGAATGATTGAATTCTTCCATAAAAACTTTTAATTGTTATGCGCAGCTCTACAAAATTAGCAAAGTGGTGTAAGGTATCATAAAGTCGGCCCCGCCCGACTTTAAGTCTTTCTTTACTGGTTTAATTTTATCGAATGAAAGCAAAAATGTCGGAAATAGCATCAAATTTTAGAATAAGTTAAGATTTGTTTGTTGTTGAATTATGGCCTTCGAACGGCCAATGAAACCGACACACGCTGACCGAATGTTGCTCTGCGGTATTTTGGCTCATTCCCGGTGGAGCGCTTGCTTGAGGTGATCGACACTTTGGTATTTTCTAGTGCCAACCTTTTTTTCCAAAATACTCCAGACACAATAGTCCAACGGATTGATATCCGGCGATTTTAGTGGCCATTGTGCGCTGGAAATGAAGCGAGGAACCTTATTTTGTAACCATTCTTGGACGGCGCGTGCTGAGTGCGATGTTGCTGAGTCCAAGGCCTGCGGCCAAAATGTTTGCTTGCCCAACGATATTTTCGCGATAATATTCGGCATTTATTCTGATGCCACGGTCGATTAATACGAGCGGAGAGCGACCATCGGCTGTTATAGCGGTCCACACTATCACCATGGCTGGCGCTTGAGTTCTGGTGGCCAACCGAAGGTGCACATTTTCAGCTGACCTCTTTGGCAAGTAAACACGATCATTTTGTTTATTTACAAACTGCTGGACAACGAATTTTTTCTCATCGGAGAAAACCAAATTCGGCAGTTCACCACTTTCGCCTAAGCGAAGAAACTCTTTAGCTCTTTTGAGTCTATTGTCTTTCCTTTGCGGTGCAAGTTCTCGCACTTTTTGAAATTTCAATGGCTTTACCCCGAGCTCATTTTTCAATATTTACCGAATGGAATATTGCGATATATTCATCTCACGAGCCATTTTTCACGAGCACTGTGACGCGGGTTTCGTTCAAGTCGCTTCTTTACTTTTCCATCCATTTCTGCTAATGTGGCTGTTTTCTTCCGTCTACTTCCATGACATCGAGCTACGCTAACAGTATCACGGTAACGAGCGATATTACGAAACACAAAAGAGTTATTCAAATTTAAATGCTCTAGTGATCTGATCGAGAATCAACGCCCAGACGAAACGACGAGTGTCATGCTTGCTGCATTGGCTTGAAAATTCATACTAAAATTATATGCAAAGTATTACAATGCACCAACAACTGAATACTGTTTAGTGAACAAACGTAATGAGTTGGAATTCTGAAATTTGCAATGGCGTCAGTGATGGAGTACAGGATAGGTGTACCAAAAGGTTTTTGAATATTCGAAAAGTTCTAGGATGATCTTATGTGAACGGATAGAGCTAAAAGCTTGAAACTTTGATGTGAGAATCAATGTCTTGTCTTGGCTTGGAAATGTGTACCAAGCGTGCGAAATGTACTAAATGATACTAAATTTGACATAGCTTGGTTAAGGATGAATGAAATTTTGTTGCTGAAATTTTGTATTGGGGTTTCTGCTGGTGGTACTGCTTGTTGGTATTAGAGTCGCTTTTCATGTGAAGGGGATTTTGAAAAAGTTTACTATAATTGTACGAAAAGTACAGAATGGTACTAAATTAGGTATTGGGCGAAGGGATTAAGATATGGAGGTGGTCTTGGAAATGTGTAGTATGAGTGTGTGAAAAGTACTAAATAGTTCTACATATAGTACAAGTTGATATTGGGTGAACAGATATTGCTTAAAATCTGAAATTTGGTTTTAGGGTCTCTGTTCATTTTTACCCTGGACATATTGAGGAGGTTTCCGAAAAGTGTACTATAATTGTACGCAAAATACTGAATGGTACTATATTTGGTGTTGTGTGAAAGAAAAGCGATAAAATTCTGAAATTTGATATTTTGATAACTCTTGGTATCTGAGGTTGAGATTTGGTCGTGGGTTCGAAAAGCACTGAATTGAACTAAATATGATATTGGATATAGGGCTTTAACTGAAGCAGTGGAATTGTATCTTTGTTTTGCAAAAAAAAATTATATGTGTACGAAAATTATACGAAAAGTACTAAATGTTACTAAATTTGATATTGCGCAAAATATTGGTGACTATTTATTATTATATATTATTAAATTTACCATTCATTGGGCGGTGAATTTGGCACATCGTGAATATCGTCGCAGATTTCCTGGCCGTCAACGCTTACAGGTAAAATATTGCTCTCGAAGAGACTTGCACAACAAATGATGACAAATGGCAAATGATGCTGCCAGGCGTGGCAGACCCCGGAGTATCTGTTCTGCAGAGAATATTGCTGCTGTGGCCGAGGATGTCATGGAAGCCTCGTAGACATCGACCAGACGACGTGCCATGTCATACCCATTTATCAGTCGACGGTTTTTACAGCGAATTTTGTTAAACGATTTGAAGATGTTTCCGTTGAAAGATGGAGCATCAGCTGTTAGCTGCTGACCGCCAATCGCGTCTAACATACGCTCAAGCCATCATTAACCACCACCAAGAAAAAGAAGATGATCATCACAAATAATCATGAGTGATGAGACTCATTTCCATCTTAGAGGGTACGTAAGTAAGCAAAATATACGCTTCTGGGGCACTGAAAATCCACGTGTAACCCACGAAGAGCCATTACACCCGCTCAAAGTCACTGTATGGTGTGCTCTTTTCGCTGGAGGAGTCATTGGACCTTTTTTTCTTCTTCAAAGCCGTCGTGGCATAAATGGTTACTGTGAATGATGAGCGCTACAAAACAATGATCAACTACTTATTTTTGCCGCAACTTGATGTGTTTGGATTTGGACGGTCCATCGGCACAGCTGCACTTGCCACAATGCATTTCCCGGGCGTCTTATCTCCCGCTTTGGCGATCCGCATTCGTCAGCAAGATTGCCTAAATTTGACAGCTGCAGACTTCTTTTTGTGGGGCTTTTTGAAGTCGCAGGTTTATGTCTATAAGCCTCAGACTCTTTCAGCTCTTAAAGACAATATCTGTCAAGAATGTGAGGACTTATCGCCGGAGGTTTTGGCCAAAGTGATGGAAAATGCCATAAAAGGGCTCAAAAGATTGGGCCAATGTTATTGGCGTCTTATCTTAATGTTACAATACTTCGCTTAATGTGAAATATTGATATTCCCTATCCAGGTACATACCCTTTGTTGTACATAACATAAGGCTAAGGGTATAAAAATCTACCAGAAATTTGACTACGGTTTTTTACCAGTTCGAAGGTGGATGAATCGATCATTCGATCGATCTACAATTAATGAATACTTATTTTTTGCCTTGGAATTTTAAGTTGTCCATAATTTGTATACCCTCCCACGATATCGTATAGCCTACACATAACGGTACCACCTGATATTCGGTATTTTGATGACTTTAGCCACATTTTTATTTTTCCTTGTAAGTACTTTACCCCCTGAAAGAGATTGGTCTATATAGGTCTACGATATCGTTTATCCCCTATATAATGGTACCTCCCGATATTCGGTATATTGCTGATTTTAGCCACTTTTACCAAGGGAATTTTCTGAAAATCCACACAAGGTGTTCCTTTTGAGTACGTGGAAGAACATTGTCTATGCCGGTCCACGTCTTCATATAGCCCACATACAGGGTGAGATGAAAAAAACTGCAACCAACTTCAGACTGCTGTCATTTCTAAGCCAGTCGTCCGACAGCTGTTAAAATGATTCCAGTGACAGCTCATCATATTGTTTACGAGCGTACAAAAGCATTTTGGTTAGAATTTTCCAGAAAAAAAGTTATTCGTGATGGAATTAAAGCGTTATAGTGTGAGTAAGTACTTTACCCCCTGAAAGAGATTGGTCTATATAGGTTTACGATATCGTTTATCCCCTATATAATGGTACCTCCCGATATTCGGTATATTGCTGATTTTAGCCACTTTTACCAAGGGAATTTTCTGAAAATCCACACAAGGTGTTCCTTTTGAGTACGTGGAAGAACATTGTCTATGCCGGTCCACGTCTTCATATAGCCCACATACAGGGTGAGATGAAAAAAACTGCAACCAACTTCAGACTGCTGTCATTTCTAAGCCAGTCGTCCGACAGCTGTTAAAATGATTCCAGTGACAGCTCATCATATTGTTTACGAGCGTACAAAAGCATTTTGGTTAGAATTTTCCAGATAAAAAGTTATTCGTGATGGAATTAAAGCGTTATAGTGTGATTTCTTTATATTTGGCTCGAAAACCACAAGTGGCTATCGTTAGAGCACTCCAGCATTTAAATGTGAATAAACATTTTGTGTTTCGTACCATCGCTCGTTACCGTGATACTGGTAGCGTAGCCCAAAGTCAAGGCCGACTTGATCGAAGTCAAGCCCGACTTGATCGAAACCCGCGTCGCAGTGGCCGAAAAATGGCTCATGAGGTGAACATATCACGATATTCCGTTCGGCAAATATTGAAAAATTAGCTCGGGATAAAGGCATTGAAATTCCAAATGTGCAAGAACTTACACCGCAACAGAAAGAAAATAGACTCGAGCTAGATAAAATAGAACCGAGCTAAAGAGTTGCTTCGCTTGACCGAAAGTTGTTAACTGCCGAATTTGGTTTTCTCCGATGAGAAAACATTTGTTGTCCAGCATGGTCCGATGGTCGCTCTCCGCTCGTATTAATCGACCATGGCATCAGAATAAATGCCGAATATTATCGCGAAAATATTCTGGAGGGTGTATTGCTTGCCTTGGGCACGCAAACATTTTGACCGCAGACCTTGGACATTCCAACAGGACTCAGCACCATCGCACTCAGCACGCGCCACCCATGAATGGTAAGAAAATGAGGTTCCTCGCTTCATTTCCAGCGCGCAATGGCCACCAAAATCCCCGGATACCAATCCGCAGGACTATTGTGTCTGGAGTATTTTGGCAGAGCTACATTCGAGCAGCGTGTTACCTCCCTGTATGCGGTATTTTGACATTCTTCACCAGAATTGTTTCAAATTTCGTATTTGAAGTTCGGAATCGGCACTACAGCCTATGAATAAAAATGTTTTGAAAAAACGGAAAAACGGAATTTTTTGAAAATTGTTCAATTCCATCCAAAATGGTGGAGGGTATTAAAGGAAATTTCTGCCGAACTTAGCTGCTATTTTACTTGTTTTTTTTTTCTAGGACTGTCGTTCACTCATTCGAAAGATAGACTTAATTAACTTTTTCCAACTCGTCCTTCCCTCCGTCATTTACTGCAGAATTGTTCCACTGAACACGATCAAAATCTCGTTTAGTGGAGTTCACCTAGGAATTACCATGAAGAATATGGAAAAATGGAGGTTTTACCAGCAGAATCAGTTATCCGAAGAGTTTTTGTTTTACAGTGGTGCGTATTAGTATTGTCGTGATGTATACGCCACAATGACACATGTACTATATGTTTGCTGACAGAAATAAGGAAGTTCAATTCCAAACAAGTTTATTACCTCAAACTAACCATTATTATCATACCTCCCCACACCGCTACTGTCGACGTCAGCAATCACCAGCAATATGTTGACCTTTTTCCACAATCCAGTTATAGCTGAGAGCCTGAGTGTGCGTCTGTGTGTGCATGTCTGTATATCTTCATTGTCATCTGTTTCTATTGCTGCGTATCCAGCGGGACATTTTGTTAAGATCCTCTGAACATGAGTGAAATTTCTTTTGTGTCATTATTTTCTAACAAATTAGAAAAAAGCGTTGGAGGACGAGGAGGAGGAGGGGAAACTAGATTTTCTTCACATCTTTGCCGGCTGCCCGCACGCATTCTGCAAATGGCAAGACAATGAGAAAAAATGCGTTCAAGTTTTTAACAATTACTTTAAGGGCAGGCAGGAGTGCGGGCGAGCTGGCGACTAGGCAGTTAACAGAATAGTAGTGTTGCCACCGTTAATGGCGGTGAAGTGGTGGCAGTGACACTGATGATAAGTTATTTCCTTGCAATGACACTAGTTGTTGCTTTGGAGAACAGTTAAGGCCATGAAAGGGACTACTTAAGAAAGTAATAATTCTGCAATGAAAGTGATGAAAAAGGTCACAGGGGGACCTTACTTTCGAGGGGGCATAACTACTACTGCAATGGAAATGTAAATTAAGGTCAGGAGGAATGATATTTGCTCAGAAAAAATCACAACAAAAACCGTTGAACTTTGAAAATATGAAAAGGAACCTTTCCCCTGCCCGACATCGACACAACCCATTGTTGTGGACATCCTGCCGTAATTGATATTGAGCTGAACGTAATTCTTGTATTGCTTATTTTTATAGTCTCTTTTTAGGTAGCTGGTAATAGCTTTAACCTCTCATTCCACTTGTCAAACTGCTGTTGTGTGTTTTTATTTCTTTTTTTCTTTTTATCTTTCTCCATTTCATTTTCACCGACCATCACACAATTCCATCATTTGTTCGGTCTAAAAAAAGGAGGGAGATTTGTTTCATGCTTGTTTCTGCTGCGTATCATTGAATGAGGACCAGCGAAGAAATGATCTGCCCAACAAAAGTGGCATTATTTAATTAAAACTCATAGAAGAAGAAATTGTTACAAAGTGCAGTGTGTACATTTTAATCAATGTGAGCGAAGGACAAATGGTCATAACGGTGGGAAGGGGGAAATGGGAATGAGAAGGGGAAAAGTAGTGTGAATGAGAAAAAGTGGCGTATATGTATTGTATTGGGCTTTAAATATCACCGACAAAACCGTATTAAATTTTTAAATCGTTTGGCAGCAAAATTACAAAAAATAGGTTAAGCGATATGTTGACCTGTTCTGTTACAAACCCAAACATCAAATTGTATCCGATTCAGAAAATATAAAAAAAGTCCTTCAAAATATTTTTGGAAATGTGTGCTTACAATTAATATTTCAAAATATTAATGTTCTCCCAATACAAAATTAAGTAAAATTTAGTACGAATATCCAAAACCACTACCAGATCTCAAAACCAGATACCAACAGGGATATCAATTCAAAAATTCTCCATCATTAAATATTCACTCAATACCTAATTTATGTTACTAAATTTGTAAAATGTTTGTAAGATTGTTGTACTCAACACCCTCCTTCTCTCAACTACGGAGACCAACAGTGAAGTCAATGTCAAATTTCAGGATTACATCTCTATCCCTTCGCCAAATACCAAATTTAGTAGCATTTAGTTCTTTTTGTGCAGTTCCAGTACGGATATTGAAAAAAATTTACATATCTCAACCTCAGATGCCAACATAATATCAAATATTGTAAAGTGGTTTTCTCGTCGGCTGAGGTAGGCTCAGCTGTACCCAGGGACTCCATAAGGACCCACTAAACCTTATGAAATAATAAGCGTAGATTTCTCCCTTTCCTGGG